TACAGAGAGTCAGCCTATTGCCCCCAACAATCTGGGTCCTCATTTTACCCACCTCGGAAGGATGGAAGGCTGAGTCAACCCTGAGCCGGTGAGATATGAACCTCTGAACTGCTGATCTAGCAGTAGCCTGCAGTGCTGCATTTAACCACTGCGCCACCTTGGCTCTTAATATCAACTATGGCAGGGGACATCACTAGTAAAGTAAATATATTCTGTACTATAAGTCATGAGGTTCTTCAAACTGGAACATTCTAGGTCAGGGATGTCAAACTCAAGGCCCATGGGCCAGAGGGTGCTTAGATCTGGCTTGTGGGGCCATCCTGGAAACAGTGAAGGACTGACCTGCGATGCTTCTACCAGTGAAAACGGAGTTTGGGAGGGCTGTGTGCCTCGCAGGCTCCATTTTTGCTGCAGAGAGCTGGTCATGCCCACAATGGCCACACCCACCATGGCCATGCCCATTTACCTCCCTGAGGTCAAACACAACCCTGATGCTGCCCTCAATGAAATCGAGTTTGACGCCCCTGTTCTAGATGCATTGAGATTATAAATCTTTGCAATTTTATGACTTGCATTCCAGACACATCTGACAATACTGCCATGAAGAACTCTGCTTTATGGATTTTTAAATTGTTATTGGGTCATGAGGATGGAAGCTCATATTTTCAAGAAACAAACTCTTCTGAAAATTTCTACACTCAACCATAGGTTCTGATGTCCATTGTGTCCCGTAGAAGAGGCATTTTCCCACCTCATAGTACTATCACCATATATGAAAGCTAGATAGCTGGAATCACGCATTTAATAAAATCTATTATTTTCACCTAGAATCAAGGATGTTGAAAGTAGTTGTTAAAGCTGGCAGCTGTTTCTGCTTTGTGTTTGTTCTTGGTGAAGGGAAATGATGTAATGCAAGAATTATGACATATGAGCCTGTCTCAAGAAAATTGTGCGTGGTCCTGTCAGCTTATTTGGATCTGAGCATACATTGGATGGATTGCGATTGCATTTGGTTTTCATTTATCATGTTTTTACTATACAGAGTGCCAATGGCTCTAAAAATGTATATACTGATAGTTATTTGCAAAACGTATTAATAGCTGATCTGGATAAAATACACTGTTCTTGGACATGTGGTACAATATTTGAGTTTTTGAATCCACAATGCCTATCTTCATACTTTAGCTTCTATCACAGTATTTATCAATCTTGCCAACTTTAAGATCTGTAAAGTTTCACCCCCAGAATTTTCCAGACAACATGCTTAAGTGTTGAAATCCACACATCTTAAAAGTTGCTTGGATTGAGAAACAATGTTCTATCTGAACAGTTTGGTAGAAACCGTAATGAAGTCACATATGCCAAGATATCACTATGCAAATTATTGTCTATGGAGAGTCTCTGTCATCTAGGTCATGGTTGTCCCAAAGGTGCTTTTTCAAAAGGCAACTGGGCTTTGTTTTTCCTTGAAGACATTTTGCTTCTCATCCAAGAAGCTTCTTCAGNGGTATATAAGTCTAACTGCTATTGCTATTGCTATATTGCAACACAGCAGCAGCCATGAGGTGACCACACTCACCGCCTCCTGCACCTCAAAAATAATAAGAGCTCCCTGAAAATAAGGTCAAACGCTTATTTTGGGGGTCAAAAGAAAGTAAGACCCTGTCTTATTTTCAGGAAAACATGGTAGGCTTTAACTGTTTTTAATTGACTTTAATAATTGAATTTTCTGATTGTTAGCTTGGGTTTTAATTGTGTACGTCACATGAAAGAGAAATGAGTGTCTATATAAATTAAATCAATCAATCAAATCTTGCAGATTATAGTTATCTCTTTTTCCTTATTCTTCTATTACTCTTCTCTTACAAAACCCTTCTCTTCCCCCCTCCATCCCTCCCTCTGTCTCTCTCCTTGAGAAATAATATAATACTAAAGAATGCACTACTTCTAACTGGTCAATATCACTTATCAAAAGCTTGAAACATATTTTAATGAGGGTTAATCACTCACTCCATTCACACATGCTTGTCCAACATTTGTCTTGTAGAACAGAGTATTGATTGGGTTGGTGGGTTTTTTGTGTGTGAATGGAATGATTTAAATTTTGTTTATTTTATTTTATCTCTGCCTTGTTCTATTCACACAAGCCAATTATGTTGCAGTAGTCAGGTATTCATCATGATAGCATGAGAATACCGAAGTCTGCAAAAATCAAACAATCCCAATGCTTATGTGCTCATAGAATCCTACAAATGCTTATTGTTTGGTTTGATTCTTCCTTTTTTTTTTCAAAGATGGCTTTCTAAAATATATTTATGGGGGACAGGGCTCATCTGTTTAATGGATCTGGAGCTCATCTGTGCCACAGGGTTGGATTTATTGCTTTCAATATCTTTTCCCTTGCATTTCATATTTTGATCAAATGGGGGCAGTGCGGTCACATCAGTATGAGCAGTGCCTGATTTATCTTTCTTGAGATTATATTTGAAGGAAATTAATGTTGTGTTGTTCCAAAAGCCATTACATTTAAAAATGAAAATCTTGTTCAAATGGATCTAGTGAATATTCAGTAAGACTACTTATTACTTTGCATTATTGAAAGGAAACAGAAAGGAGGAGATTTTTCTCGTGTCCCTGTTCAGAATTAACCTTTTTTTTCTGATGATAAATGAAATATTGTCAGTTCAAATTCTTCTTAGCCTCAGATTTTTTCCATCAAGCTTCAAAACTAAACAGATGGTATCCTATCCCAAATCCAAAATACAGTCCTGAGGAATTAAGTCTCTGTGAATTATTTTATTATGACTTCTACCATAAGTAACAATGTCATTTCCTAAAATGTTAAAAGCAAAACTCAGCCATATTTAGAACTCACAAAGTTTTATATATCCAAAAACAGGTTTTTTATATATATATATCAAAAAACCTGATTCTAAGGCAGGTCAATTCAATTTTATTGATGCTGTTCTCCATAATTTTCAATGGCGGGCATCTCACTGACTGTTCTTATGGCAAATCTCTTAAATATTCTTCCTTAACTAATATGAATTGGCGGTTGGGAGGGGAATGGGGGAAATATAGATACACTGTTATTGACATCTAGACTCCTGGTGGCATAGTGGTCAAACTGCAGGCAAACTCTCCCTACAGTTTAGAGCTTGATTTTGATGGGGCTCATGGTTGACTCGGCCTTCCATCCTTCTGAGATTGGTAAAATGAGGTCCCAGATTGTTGGGGACAATGTGCAAATAATACTTACATTATAAACTGCCCAGAGAGTGCTACAAAGCACTACGGAGTGTATATAAGTGTAAATGCTATTGCAATTGCAATAGCAACCCCGGTGGCGCAGTGGTTAAAGTGCAGTACTTCAGGCTACTTCTGCTGATTGCTGGCTGCCTGCAATTTGGCAGTTCAAATCCCACCACACTCAAGGTTGACTCAGTCTTCCATTCTTCCGGGGTGGATAAAATGAGGACCTAAATTGTTGGGGGCAATAGGCTGACTCTGTAAACTGCTTAGGGCTGTAAAGCACTGTAAAGCGGTATATAAGTCTAAGTGCTATTGCTATTGTTTTTGCCATATACTTTTCTCTTGGACAGGATGAAAAGCAGAATGCATTATATTATTCAGTTATACCTACATCGTATCATTCACAGAGAAAACAAGCGATGGCTGGTGTAATATAGTTCATTCTTTGTCCAGTGATCATTCAGATTTTTGCAGTGCAGATATGGTAGCCCCACACTGTAGCTGTAATTCCCTCATCCATCTATTTCCATGAGCGTTCAGGTTCGGAGTCTTCCTCGTCAATCTCTTCCAGGAACCACATACTGGCAGGAATGAACAGCACTGTCTAGAACTGCAACCATAAAACTCTGGTTAGACCCATCTTTCCATATGGTCTAGAAATTTACTTCCAATTCTGTAACTGTTGATGCTTAGGTTGGCTGGATCCTCTCCATTCTGGATGAATTACAGTTGAATCCCCAGCCTCCTGTGGCTGTACTTCCACTCGGCACTGGGAATGATCTTGCTCGCACTCTCAACTGGGGAGGGGTAAGTCTGAATACAGGTCTGACTGGTTGTCATTTCACTTTTTGTTGAAAGTGGAGGAAGAGATTCAAACTGTGGACGGAAATGTATAAAACATATTCTTCTAATTGGTGCATTATTTTTTATGCATAGAGTAGAAAGTTTCCACTTCAACTTTCACTTTTCTCCAACCCCCCCCAACCCTCCAATTAAATGAAATAAACACAACCATGGCTGGCCTAGTTAGCTACTTGGCCGTAGGCTTATTATTATGATTCATTCCCAGTATTATCTAATATTTGCAAAACTTTACCCATAATATTTTATGGATTTCTTGTGCTCTGTCTTCTCCATGTACCAATGATGGGAATTGTGAAGATTTAATTAGCTGCTTTTGAGTAAATACTGATGACTATCCCACAGACTAATCAATTAATCATTTATTAATATTGATCATTTACATCTGCCTACTTCTCTGTTCTACTTTAGGGGTATACTGATGAACCTGTTGCGAAAATTCTCTGTCATGTAGAAGATGGTGCCATCGTTCAATTAGATCGTTGGAATCTTCAAGTGGAGAGAAACCCTGATTTGCCGTCAAATGAACTTGAAGATGGAACACATAAGGTTGGCGTGAAATCTTTCTCCTTAAAGTAGACTAGAATTGGGAGATCAGAGATCATGAAGTGTGGCTATGGAATATTTCTAGACATAGAATCCTAGTATTTCTTCATTTTTGACCGGTCTCTGTTTATTTGCTCCACTATGTTGGAAATTTCTTGTTTTCAGACCTGTCAACAATTAGCCAGTAAGCTAATAAAATAAAACCAACCCACTAGTGAAAGTGTTAAGAGTCCTATTTATTCAAATCCCTTATACATCTACTAGCAATTCCAATTTATGGTCAATTTGTATGAGCATGAGTAGACAATTTTGTTCCAAAATTACACCACTTGTACCTGAAATAACAAAGTCAACTTTGCTTAGTGAGTCATAGTGTTTGCAATTCTATTTTATTTTTCTATATTGCCTTTTCTACAAAGTCTCTTTCTTTTTTCTTTTTTACTTCTGATCTCATCACTGCAGCTCCCTCTCAATGTTTTCAATAATTACTTCAGCCTCGGATTTGATGCCCATGTCACGCTGGAATTCCATGAATCTCGAGGTGAGAGAACTAAAGCTATCTCTCTCAAAGTGTGCCTCTAGAAAAAAAGGATTAGATACGCTTAACATGTGCCCTAAAGGTGGTCCCTATGTCTTTAATGCCTACGGAATAGATAGAATTTTGCCAGCTGTGAAGTTACAGTGTAGAGGGGATGAAAAGGGGGGTGAAAATTGTTCCTATTCTTAAGAAAATAATAGAAGAGTTAAAGAAAAGGGTAGATGTTAGTTCATCTTGAGTGAAAATATGTATTGTATTTATGGTTAATTTCTACAAATAGTATCAGCAATAGCTAAAGGATTATCATGTGCCAATGCTCTGAATGAATTAAAGATACTGCAGATATTTAGCCAAATGAAGAGGAAAATGTTAGCTGATTTTTATCTATTGTGAAGATTTCAACAAACAATACATCCCAAATCACGGTCAAATTAACAGCTACCACTATAGAGATGATTTATTTCCAGTTCGGAAAACATATAAACATTTAGAATAATCTTGTCTCGCTAATTTTGGCTGTTTCAGAAAAGGAAAACCAGACTAATAGAGACCAGCAGAGAATCTTAGATTAGTATTCGATATTTCATGCCAAATATGTTTTATGTAGGTCAGCTGAATCAGACTTGGCACGACATTTGCAGTCTGATTTCATTGAAAATTCTGTATAAGTCGCCCCTTCCCCCACCCCTAAAAGAGTGTGGAAATGTTGGAGTGTCTTATACACCTAAAATGGCCATTTTTGCCCCCCCATTTCATTTTTGCCCCCATTTCATTTTTCTGAAAAACGGTTTTTTTTTGCAAAAATGGAGGTGTTTTTGCCTTCCCCCACTCCCCAGAAGCATTCTGAAGGCTTCAGCAGGGCTGGAGGAAGGCAAAAATGCCCCCATTTTTGCAAAAAATGGCCTGNGACCATGGAGACGTCTTTGGACAGCGCTGGCTCCTCGGCTTTGAAATGGAGATGAGCACCGCCCCCTAGAGTAGCACATATGTGCAAGGGGAGCTTTTACCTTTACCTTTATGCATCTGTATTGGATATATTTGTCAATTTAAGGAAACAATGCAGGATGGTTAAACACTATCCACTCCTATGCTTGAAAAAATTGTTTGCAAGCAACTGATTTCTCTCTCTACTTGATATTTTTCTTCTTGGTACTGGTTTTGAGATGTGGCAGATGAGGATACTGCAAGGAGCAATTATTTTTCAAAAGATTGTCCCTCATGCCATGAAAATATCTCCCACATTTAATCCCTCCCAATCTAAACAATGGATGAAGTAGATTTCCTGGTTGCCTACTGTTGTAAAAAAAAAGCCCTTAGGAGGATTTATCTCATGATATCAGGACTGAACTGAAGACAGCTGTTGTAGGCTACTAGCAAGTTAACTGTGTAATGAAAAGTGGTATATTGGCCACATAATTTGGCCATCTTCTATTTAAGATAAGGCAAGAAGTGCACACACCATCTAAGAATCTTTTAAAACTTTATTTTATTTTGGAAAGGGAAGAAAGGAAGATCTTCATATAAATATTTCCTCTCTTTTCTCCTCCTTTATGCCATGGAAAGGCTGCTCTTCAAGTAGGAGGTCATGGAGAGAGGTTGCATCAGTGTCGAGAAGTGACTCTACTGACGTATAAGTCCATCCCAATGCAAGTGGATGGGGAACCATGTCGGCTGGCTCCATCGCTCATCCGAATCTCCCTTAGGAATCAGGCCAATATGATGCAGAAAAGCAAGAGAAGAACATCCATGCCTTTGCTCAATGAGTAAGTTGGTTACATGTACTTTTTGGTATAGGCAAAACTTAAATGTGAGATGTCACAAACATGAAGTGAAGCTGCAACAACAGGAGTGAATTAAGGATGTAGCAACTATAGTGAGTCTGTATAATGTTGTATGGAAAATTTGAATGAGGCCCCTTCTTTTTCTCAAAGCTTGTCCCTCCTGTGCCTCCATCTCCTGTAATGACTGCCGTGCTCCATATTATGTATGTTGCACCTTCCCTAAAGATAGAAGAGATCATGCAACAAAATTTTCAGAACTGACCTTGTAAAAATGAATCTCTAATAACAATTAATCCCACTAGTCTCTTTCTTTTAAATTAAGAATCCTTTAAATTCTTTTCTCCAAGACAACCTTTTAAGGTGATTCAGTAATAATAAGCTAGGAAGCTAGGAAGCTAGGACATAAAACTCTGAATGTTGAATACTCACTGTTACAAGAAAGTTTAGAAAAAATAGTATTCTGTAATATGGCAAACACATAACATATAGCAATAGCAATAGCAGTAGACTTATATACCGCTTCATAGGGCTTTCAGCCCTCTCTAAGCGGTTTACAGAGAGTCAGCCTATTGCCCCCAANATTACTTGTCCCAGCTTCTGCCAACCTAGCAATTCGAAAGCACATAAAAAATGCAAGTAGAAAAATAGGAACCACCTTTGGTGGGAAGGTAACAGTGTTCTGGGCACCTTCAGCGTTTAGTCATGCTGGCCACATGACCATGGAAATATCTTCGGACAGCGCTGGCTCTTTGGCTTTGAAGCGGAGATGAGCACTGCCCACTAGAGTTAGGAACAACTAGCACATATGTGTGAGGGGAACCTTTACCTTTACACCATCATCAGAAGACCCCCAGAAGGTCAGAAGTCTGAACTGAAGCCCTTTCAGTCCTTCAAATGCTACCCACCTTGATCCAAAGTAATCATTCTCACTGCTTTCCTATTATTCGAACAAAATAAACATATGCATTGATATGTTTATCTATTGATCAATAGTAAATTCCTAACAGTACCTGAGAGACTCACAGACTTCTATTTTGCAATAAACTGAAGATGACTGTATGCATAGTATAGCCCAAAACTTGTTGCCATGATCATGACCATTGCTGCCTCTGTGACCTTCTCTTCCACTGCCCCAATATCTCACTTGGGAGGTTCTTTCCCCAATGTGAGCCTCCATGAGTAAGGATCTATAGATATCACCTATGTCAACCACTATTTGAGCCTAAAAAATCATATCAGATAAGAGTGATACAGTCTCAGAATACCAGCCTATATTGATAAAATTATTCCGAAGTGTTCTTATTTTGAGCCATCAAAATGGATAGGCAGTTTGAGAATTCTCCAGAACATCAATTCTAATTCTAATCTGCTTTTGAAGGCACATATTTCTCACCCATATTTTGCATTATATTCAGAGAGCTGCATCAAAGTACAAGATTATACCACCGAGAATGGGAGGACTGCAGATGGTGGGTCAAGTTCAGTCTGTTCCTTCCAACACAACTTGAATATTTTGGTCTCATGAGGGAACCTGCTCTGGGATTTACACACTTTTCTACATCAAAATAATCTAACTGTGGTGCCATGTATTTCTATCTCAGTTGAAAGAATGAGTCTTCACTCTGTGAATGCTTCCTATATCCATGGAATGGAATGGAATAGAATAGAATAGAATAGAATAGAATAGANGAGGGCTGAAAGCCCTATGAAGCGGTATATAAGTCAAACTGCTATTGCTATTGCTAGTATGCCCCTGTATGGGTGTACCAGTGCCTGCTGGGAGGACCAGGTACTGTTCCGGTACAGTGCTCCAGAGGGCCCACCTGCCCGCCCACTCTCCTTACCTCTATTTGAGCCGACCATGGCAATTGCACATGCGCACAAGAGGTTTGGCACCTGTGCAGCGCTCTGCTGAGCAGATGGAGCAGTGGTGGGTTACGACCGGTACGCCCCAGTATGGGCATACCGGTGCATGCTGGGAGCACTGGGTACCATTCTGGTATAGTGCTCCGGAGGGCCCACCTGTTCTTACCTGTATTTGAGCTCTTTGGGGCTTCCGCGCACAGAGTGTACGGTCCCTGTGCGACGCTCCACCGAGGAGCTGGAGCATCGCAGATGGTAAGTACGCATGCACGCATTGCACGCTTTCATGTGATGGATGCCGGACCCCATTGCACTGTACCAGTTGCATCAGGACCCACAACATACCATTGAGCTGAAGCGTTGCGGGCGGTGGGTATGCATGCATGCACTGGTTGTACCGGTTGCGTCCCGGTTGCAACGGGAGCCGGAACCCACCCCTGCTTTGAATGGTCACTAAATGAACTGTTGTAAGTCAAGGACTACCTGTAATGCAGTAGGTGACATTTCAGCATGTACATAGCTTCACTCTTGTCTGAAATAAAGAGACTAATCTTGCCAAGCTGTGTCTGAAAGCTTTGCGTGGAGTTTGAATTTAAGCTCCCAAACATGCTTTTTTCAAGAGACAACTGGATTTCTTGTTTTTCTTGGAAGACATTTTGCTTCTTATCCAAGAAGCTTCTTCAGCTCTGACTGGATGGTGGGGAGCTGAAGAAGCTTCTTGGATGAGAAGCAAAATGTCTTCAAAGAAAAACAAGAAATCCAGTTGTCTCTTGAAAAAGCATGTTTGGGATGTTTGGGACAACCCTGACCTGGATGGCTGAGAATCTTCATAGCTATTTGAATTTGAAACACTGAGATTCATGGCCAGGCCTGACATGTGAAGCCTAACAGCAAGTAAAAACAGGATAGTTAATAAAATCGATTTGATTTATATTTATCTAAAATTAAACAACATTAATATGGTTGCTTTTTAATAATTTATGTAATAATGTTCTCTTTCTGCCATATTAAAATTGTACCTTGGCATCAACTATTACAAGTTTTCGGGGGCTGCAGCTATCTCTCCTATAAACTATGCAAGTCAAGAATTTTGCAGCCTTAGAAAATTGGTAATTCAGTAATATGCTAGTCTTTGAGATACTATTATTCTTTCTCTCATTTCTTAAGTAAATATTCAATCTTCCTTGAATTATGGAAAGGCACTTCATTACTTAATTTAGATAACACTTCTTCACTGCCAGTTCATATCACCATTTTGATTCATTGTTATTTCTTGAAAAAGCTAAGTGTGTAAAGCCAATGTAGTGTTTAATGGACTTTGTAAAAAGAGTTTTTAAATTCTGCTTTCTTTTTCTTCCTTGTTACAGAGGCAAATCCTGAAAAATTCAACAGCCGATTTCGAAATAAAATGTTTTATGCCGGGGTGAGTTGATATAGTCTCTTTTTTTCCTCTGATTGCTGTTTTGTTATTATTTTGAGCAATTGGCAATAAATAAATATAAATAAATAAATAAGATGTTGAGACTCTAGAAAGAGTGCAGAGAAGATGATTAGGGGACTGGAGGCTAAAACATATGAAGAACGGTTGCAGGAACTGTTCGGGTTAATGTCAGGATTCCAAATAACATCCCAAATTAATTCAGAGTCCAAGGCAAAATATTGCTCAAAGCTCCAATTTATTAAGAGAGTCATGTTGGCACATCTGGGAAAGCCCGAATCTGAGCTTCCTGGGTTTTCCCCACCTAGTTGNCCCCCATTTTTGCAAAAAATGGCCTGTTTCCCACCTGTTTTTTGCAAAAACGGGGGGATTTTTGCCTTCCCCAAGCCCCGCTGAAGCCTGCAGAGTGCTCCTGGGGCCGGGGAGAACAAAAACTTTTTTTTCTTATTTATTTCATTGAAATCTTGGTGTATCTTATACACCGGCACGTCTTACAGTCCGAAAAATACAGTAGGTATCACTTCACAGTGCTTTCGAAAACTCTCTGAGCACTTTACAGCGTCAGCATGTTGTCCCCAACAATCTGGGCCCACGTTTTACTGACTTCAGAAGGATGGAATGTCGAATCAACCTTGAGCCCATCAGGATTGAACTCCAAACTGTGGGCAGAGTTTGTTTGCAATACTGCATTCTAACAATCTGCTTCATGTAAACAAAGTATTCTGTCTTACAATAAGTAGTATCCTTCTAGTAATAAAAATCTGAACACGATTACTGTAGATGATAGATGGAATAGCTTTGAGGGCTTGGAGATAGGCCTCTACCAAGAAAATGATCAGATAAAAAAAACCTGAGTTGGGATCAGGATTGTAGCCTGAGAAAATCTCTCAGATAAAAGCTTCTTATGAAGAAGGGATGGGAAGGAAAGGAAAGGAAAGGAAAAAGCCCAATCAGCCTTTCAAGATTCTGTTACTATAGCTTTACAATAAAAGTAGTACTGACCTACATGACATTGGATTGTTATTCTGATCTACCCCTAAAGGCTGACAATTACCAAGGCAAGCATTCATGAATCATATTATGTCATTCTTTATGGTAAGCCAAATGCCACGTACACCTACCATTACTTTTATTAGAATGGATCTTGCAAGTGTAAATATGCAAGTGTAAAAACTGCCACAAAATAGAGGGAGTCAACTTATTCTCCAAAGCCTCTGAGGACAGGACAAGAAGCAAAGGGTGGAAACTAATCAAGGAGAGAAGCAACCTAGAACTAAGAAATTTCCTGACAATGAGAACAATTAATCAGTGGAATAACTTGCCTCCAGAAATTGTAAATGCTCCAACACTGGAGGTTTTNAATCAAGGATCAGCAGCCCCAGGCCTGCCGGAACAGCCAGCTCTTAGTAGACTTTCGGAAGGCCGAGAGAGTGGGGAGGGTCCGGATCTCAGAGGGTAGATCGTTCCATAGGGCCGGGGCCGCTACAGAGAATGATCTCCCCCGAGGAGCCGCCAGTCAACATTGTGTAGTCAACGGCACCCGGAGACGGCCCATCCTGTGAGATCTTATCGGACGCTGGAAGGTATGTGGCAGGAGGCGGTCAGTTGCCTTTTGAAAAAGCACCTTTGGGATGATTATGCAAATGATAGAATTCATGTCATTTGCATAATTATATTATGA